AGGCAGTCACAGGAGAGGCATGATCAGGTGAGAGTGAGAGACACAGAAGTTTCTGCCCTTATTGAGCCCACAAGTGGGGAAAAACGGTTTCTCATCAAAAAGCAGCATCAAGTCAGTTAGGATAGTGCGTCAGGCACTCCAGAAGGCAGGAGGACTGCAGGTTCAAGTCCAAGCTAGGCAATTTAGAGATTTAGCGACACTGTCTCAAAATAAAAAAACAAAAAGGGCTTAATGATGTAGCTCAGCATGAAGGCCTTGGGCTCAATCCTTAGCACCACCAAAAAAAGGCAGGGGCATCAAAAGCAGCCCTAATGGGGAACCCTGGGAAGGGCACTATAATGCAAGCTGAGGAAAATGGTGAGAAAGCCTTTCCTCAGAAGATGGCACCCAGCCACCTAGGTGTGCAGAGGCTGGGACACAAGGGTTGCAGTTCCCTTACCTCTGAGCAGGAGGGTCTGGCCCGAAGCACCGAGGAAAGGCGCATGAGCCTTGGAGTATGGAAACATAGGCCCTCTGACAATTCCCACAGCATGAGATCACCAGCTAAGCATCCCTGGACATTTCGGTTTAGGCTGCTTCACATCAAACACTGACATGGAAACACTAACCCAGTTTAGTGAGGACTCCATGGCAGCCACTGCTGATGTGTCACGGCTGTGGAATGCCTGAGACAGAGATAACCCAAGCATCTCACAGGCCGCCCAGAAACTAGGGACCTGGTCTGTCTCAGTCTGTGAGGTCTCACAGAGCCGAGGTGCCACAGCCTGAGGGCGACGCAGTTAGCCACAGGCATTCCTCACTTGCTCTGAGCTTTCTTTTGCTGCCTCACCCTCCTCGTGGTTCCCCACACAGGAAACACACAAGGGCATCAAAGGAGCTGCTGGAACCACAGAACTGATGCTGAAGGGCTGGTCTCCAAGCAGCGCGGACCAACAAGCAGTGCAAGGCACCAGCTGCTGGTGAAAAGGAAAGCAGTCCTCGGTGCAGCCTTCTGTTCTCCAAAATCAGTGGAGACTTCTGCAGTTTTTTAAAAGCCATGAGTTTACTGCAACAAACTCTGAGACTAAACACTTCCCATAGTAAATGAATGCCTGCAAAATCTATTATATACTTTCTAGTCTCTTAAACCTAAGATGGGAACCACCCTACTTGAACAACGTGTGAGGGCCACAGTGCTGAGATGCTCAGGGCTCAATGGCTCAGGACGGCCCTGCTCCAACCACCTGCCCCAAAGGGTAGAGAGCCATGGCCTGCCGTCCTCCCTGCCTGTCTACTGTCACCCTTCTGCTGAGAACCCAGAGCTTCTAATCAGCAACAGGCACGAAAGCCCCTATTCTGCAATATGAAAGGCAGGACCTCAGAGAGGGGCCAGCTGCAAGGGTTCAGTGCCCCACCTCTGAGTCCCAGCTAGGGACTGAGTAGAGGCTGGCAGGCAGCTGTGCTGCACACAGCATGGAAGCTCTGGAAAGCACGTGCCTTTGCAGACTGGGAGTGGCACAGAGCCAGGTGGGGAGACTGAACCCCATCAGTCAGCACCTTAAAGCCAAGCTGTTCGTAGTCAAATCTTACTAAACAGATTTGCATGACTTACACAAAGTTCCAGGAGCAATGAGGACTCCATCATGTAGACAAACTTCCCACAGTTTCACTAACCTCCCACACCCAGACCTGAGTCACTCCTGGGATCCTGTTCTCTTTCTAAATTTTTAAAAATCATTCATTCATTCATTCATTCATTCATTCATTCATTCATTCAGTACAGGGTCTTGCTGTGCAGCTTGGACTTGCTATAAACCTTGCTGGGATTACAGGCATGCGCAACCACGTCCAGCACGGCATGAGGTACCAGGGATTGAACCCAGGACCCAGGCCCTTGCACTTGCCAGCCAGGCACTTAAGACCACTGAGCTATCTCCCCAGCCCCTTTTTAAAAAATTTTTTCTTTCAATCTTTGGGATCCTGTTCTTGTGCTACTGCTAACGACAGACCAGGGCCAGTCAGGGTGCTCTGGACACAAAGCTGCACTTTTTCTTCTGAGCACCCAGAAGAAGCACCAAACAAGGCCACAAAGGAATCATCACTTTCAGTTCTAAGGGTCCAATGGCAGTGAGAGCGGGTGCCAGGCAGTACATGCCACACAGGTGGGGAGCGTCACAGCCGCCTGTCCTCTCTCTGAGCCTGGGTCATCCACTCGCATTCCCATGTGTGCAGTCACAGAACACAGACCCCATATGGCCATATCGCAAGCACTGGCCTCACCTGGAAAGTGTGCTACACACTCAAGAAAAGCCTCGTATGTGCTGATGGTCTCACACATAAAAACTTCCTCTGAAAGATTTCAGAGTGCTCCCTTAACAAGCACACCTAGAAAGTGGGAGGCGTTAGGGCACAAAGTGGGGGTCATTTTGAAGGAGCACAGGTAGAAGATATCATAAGAAAACAGAAAGAGAGGCAGGCGCAGTGGTGCATGTCTGTCTTTCCAGCCACAGGGGAAGCTAAGGCAGAAAGATCACCAGTTTGAGCCTAGCCTAGGCAACTTGAGACCTTGTTTCAAAAAGCAAAAATGCTGGGAATGTGGCTCAGTGGTAGAGTGCTTGCATAGCATGTATGATGCCCGAAGTTCCATCTCCACAAGTACCAAAAGAAAAGACTACAGAGCCTAGGAGATAGCTCAGCAGCATAAGAGCCTGCCTGGTAAGTTCAAGATCAAACCTGTGTTTGATCCCCAGTGCCAAAAAAAAGACTATAGGGAGAAGGCCTAGCTGGTTTTACTGACACTGCATTACAGAGAAACTCCACGTCTCCTTGAGCCTGAAAAATAGTGCTTAGCTTACCTGTTCCTAGCTTCAATGCAACACTTTTGAAAGCTTCTCAAACAAAAGCTCTTGACTGATGAAATTCACCTCAATGCCTGCTGCAGCAGGTGCTAACTGCTTCCCAGTCCACAGAGCGGTCTGAAGGCTGTACAGGAGGCTTTGCAAGAGAGGGGCTAAGCTATTCATCTTTTTATGAAGACCAGGTGGACAACTGCCAAGATGAATTCTGCCAATAACCTCCTCACCTGAAGGAGTTAGCATGTCTGATGAGCATACAGCTTGGGCCAGTACCTACATTGTAGGCTGGTGAGACCCTCAAGCAGAAAGCCTAGCCCAGCCTTCTCATCTAAAGAAACTGGGGATATTGCTTACTTAAAAAAAGGATTGGGGCCAGGGAGATGGCTCAGTGCTTCCGTGAGAATAAGTGCTTCTGTGGCAGGCACAAGAGCCTGAGTTCAATCCCTGGTTCCACCAAAAAAAAAAAAAAAAAAAAAAAAGGATTGGTGGGAAGCCTGTAGTTTCTGATGCATATTTTTTTAGCCATTAATTGAGTGACAGGTTCTCAAGAAATAAGAATGCTAAAATTCAAGACTGCTCACCCAGAGGAAAAATACAGGGCTCATACAGAGCCCTTGAAATCTGTCCTTCTGTAGGTTTTTCTTCCAGAAAAAGAAAAAAAAATCATCTTGAACACTAAAGCTCAATATTGCCACCTGAGGCAAGGAAATGATACTCTTACTGTCTTCATGGGCACCAACACCCCGCGACACACTATGTCAGACTCTCCAAACTATTCTGCTACAGTTCTGGGTTTTATCAAGCTGAGAATCAAGCACACATGGTGCTTGCTGGGAACACAGGCGTGTGGCTCCCCCTCATCATGGGTCAGAGTACGAGGCCCAGGCTCCTGTGGGTCTCATCACTGGGGACACTTGGGCAAGGCTGCCTGATATCAGGTGGTCTTCATCGCCCTCTTCAAAAGCAGGTATTATTTGCCCCATTTGAAAAGAAGGCAAAGAAATGTGTCCCAAGAAGTCTGACCAGACAATCTAGGGAGTGCCAACTTGGATTTCTGACTAGCAGCAGAGCAGTGCTCTTGCCTACTTGGCTACAGTACTTCCTGGGGCACAACAGGAAGTGGATGGAACTGCTCTTTATTTAAGGGTGGGAGAGGGCCCTGCAAGAGTGAGTGGTAATGTGTATGTGCTTTTGGCACCACACACAGTGCAGACCATCTGGAGTCAGGGCCCCAGTCAATCCCACAGGAAGCGACGTGATGGCGGCAGTCCTTGAGAGAACCAAAGGGCAGGCTGATACTCCTACCAGGAAAATCTGAAGCCTTTTCTCATAACAGGAAAATATCAAGCCTTTACTAAGTGTGAGTTCACTAATAATCTCTCCACACCACCATCTGGCTTGCTAGAAAATAACTTAGAAGTACTTGGACACAAATATGAGCAGGAGAAATGGAAATCACATATACTATGCACATATACAAAAAAATAGCTGGGAAATGCACCTTAAATACCCCTAGTCATGTCTACTAAAAAAATAACTCATGATTTAAGGTCACAGATTTTTAATACCAATTCAAGCAGAAAGTTTCAAAGCAACATTATGTTCACTAACTGAGCTTTAATTTCTTAAAATATACTCACTTCTGGCTTTCTTCCCACTCTAGTTAAACACATGCATTCCAAACCACTGGAAACAGACTCTACCAACAGCATGCAGTATTTTAGATAGAGCCTCGGAGGCCTGACCTCTGCTCTCATCCTACAAGGCAAGGCAGGCCCAAGCCTCCCTGCTGAACCTCTTTAATACCCCTAATGTTGGGATGGAAGCTCCTGCCTGGCCCATTTTGCATGAGTCACAGGACACTCAGATGGGTTAAGACAAGTGATGACATGGTGAACCAGAACACCTTACTTAAGTACTTCCAGACGACATTCCTCTGAGGCATGGTAACTCCAGTCTAATTCAAATGATTCAAATTTTATATGCTTCTAGCAAAGCTTTACTGCTTGTTTGGAAAGTTCAAAAAGCCTTAAACTTCAAATGCCTTGCAATAGAATAACAATAGGTCTACACGCATCACAAGTCAGTCTTAAGACAATTAGGCCACAATGGGGGCTCAAACACGAAGCACACTGCCCTGGCTACAAGCAGTGAAAGCATAATTACCTGTTTCTCCCCACAACGTGTCAGTGCCATTGACTTCTATTTCATGTTCCTCTTCCATTCCCAGCAAGCACTGGACCACCTGTCAGAAGTGGCAAGGTGATTTAATGAGTTCTCACGGCAATAGGTGCTTATTATATTCCATATATCAAAGGAGAGTGTTGTTTTTTAACCATTATTATCACATGCTGCACTAAGAGATAAAATATAATGAAAACCATTTTCAAGCATAATTCGTATGCTATTCACACTTCCACTTGCAGAAGAATTTAAAAAAAAAAAAAAGTCTCACTGAATTTCAGCCACACTGCTCAGAATTACTAGGTACTCAGAATTCTAATGAATTCCAACCTGACCCAAATATGCCAGCCTACTCAACAAAGGACACAGCAGATCATATAAAGTGCAGTTTCTGCATAAATCACCAGATAATGGGAAATCCACTTTTTACAAGGAAGAAAAATAAGCAAATACATTTTATAAGAAAAAAAGAATTAAAGTATTTCCTAAATGATTTCTGGGCTGGCAGCATTACTCTTTTCCCTTCTGGGCATTTTCCTGCAGGTACAAAGGTACGAAAGCTGGCTCTTTGGGAGCCGGAAGATCTGAGTCCCAACCGCAGTGAGCGTTCACCCTGCTGTGGCTTTCGTGGTACCTGAATAATGGTTTCAAAATACGTCCACTGATTCACTGTGAATGTTCCTTTTAATGTCGAGAGATATGGATGATTGCAGACATGATTACTGATCTTAAAATGGAGTGATTACCCTGAATTGCCAGGATGTACGGCATAGCTGCTACACGCCTAATACATCCGCAGCAGCTCAAGAAGAGCCCAGGAGGAATCAGAGGAAGCGGCGTGGGAATGACGGGCACAGCAGTGAAGAGCAACTGCCTCTAAAGCTGAAGAAGAGGCCAGGGGCGCAGGATACAGGGAGCCTCATGAAGCTAGGAAAAAGATGAGGCATGGCGGCACCCACCTATAATCTCAGCATTCTGAAGGACTGAGGCAGGAAGGTCACAAGTTGGAAGAGGGGGAACGTGAACCGAGGCAAAGATTCTACCTACACATGGTGTACAGTGTTCTTCCAACGGTGATTTTTCACAATCTAGATTCCATCACTCTTAAGGAACAGTGTAGAAAGGAAAAATGTCCACATTTACAATATATGTACTTAACACACATCCTGTGTATTTATGACATGAGTTTTCAGTGTTCAAAATACCAAAAATCAGCCAGCCAGCAGTGATGCTTATGTGTTCCTGCCCCATGTTTAAGTGCCAAATGTCAGGCATCCAGCTTGGCATGCAAATTTAGTTCATGCCATTTTGGGAAAGGAATCTTCCCTAATGCTGGCACCTCTAATTGCTTGAGGATAATACTGAGCGAGAAACACACCAAAGAGCATGAGCAAAATGTTATTAAAATCACGAAGCTTAGACACAGGTCAGGAAATGACAATTAAAGCTTCAAACAGAGGAATACTGACATGTACCAGAAATAAAAGCTCTATTTAACCACTGCATGAAGTTTTCCTTCAGGGAAAGAACTGCAAATGACAGGCATTCTTAAATGCTATCAAAGCATTAAAGATCTATTTTTAAAAATCCTTCATATGCTCAAGAATGACTTCAGAATTGGGATTCCATGTGATTGTTTTTAAAAGATTACAAGGACAAAGAAAAAAAAAAGAATCAAAGGGAAATAAAGATAAGGCAGCAGGGCAGAGGGTAAAAGCAGTTTAGGGGAGGAAGAGACGCAGTAGGAAGAGTACAGAATGGGCACTGAGCAGTTGGGTTCCATGGGATGAGCAGGCCCGGCTGCCCCATCACATTTAGGACTCACTCCTAAGGTATTATGCCAACAGAGGGCATACACATGCAACTGCAGCGGATGGCCAGCTCTTAGAATCCTCATCTTCTGTTCACTCCTCCAGGGTTTCACAGGCATAGATTAGAAGGTGGCAACTGGAGAAAACAGGTGACCTCTGGGCTGCAGCCTCCCTTTCCCAGGAAGGAGCCTGAAGAACACTCACCAAGCTGTGGCCCATGCTAGCTGCTGCTGTTAGTGCCTGCTGCAAGGCGTGGCTCTTCCTCAGGGCTCCAGGCTGTGGAGGGCCTGCTGACCACTCACAGGTCAGCAGGTACTGGAGAATGTTGCCATGTCCCCGCAGCGCGCTGTGGACCAGTGCGCACTGGCCTTTCTTATCCAAGTGGTCCACCTGCAGCGTGAGAGCAGGGAAGGCAAGCGGTGAGTACCCACCCTCCTTTGAAAAGTCAGGTGACCCAAGCACTGTGCAAACCCCACTGGCATCAAGTCCGTATGTACTCCTACTCCTCTTCATAGGCAGCATGGAAGTCTATCTGACTCTCTTCATGGCAATGAGAGCGCTGTTCTAGGCCTTAGGGCCCCTTTCCAGGACCAATGTTCACAAACACCCCCTACCAAATGTCCAGGGGACTGCATGGAGCTCCAGGCTCTCCTGGGAACATATATGAGGACCCAGACCAACAGTGTGACAAAGTCCTGTGCTTTCTAACTGGGTGCCTGCTGTGAAGAAATCATGATTTGGGGGAGAAGAATTCTTTGTTCACTGGGACAGGGGAGCCAAAGAAGACAGGGACGGATCTAGAAACAGCTCTGAATGAAGTCCAGGAAGTCAGACCACCCAGGTGGGCAACGTGGGACGTGTTGGCATGTAAAGTGGCAGGCAACAAAACTGGGGAGGGCAGCCAGCAGGGAAGAGTGTGTGTGTTCTGTACACCAGCTAAAGGGCCAAAGGGTGCCCATAACTCTAATACTTGGGAGGCTGAGGCAGGGGGATTCTGAGTTCAGGGCCAACTTGGGCTACACAGCAAGTCCACAGCTACCCTGAACTAGATAACAGTAGTCTGTCTCAAAACTCTCAAAAGACCCCCCAAACAGCAGGTAGCCCATCTCCCCATCTACACCTAGGGAATACTGGGGCTGGAGAGGCGCCTCGGCCCAGCTACCACGCTTGCACATACTGTGAGCTCAGAACCCTCATCTTCAGGCTCTGTAAGACCCACCAGTATGATGGCTAGATCCCTCCTGCCGAGCTTTCAGTTACCACAGAAGGGGGTCTGCTGGTCCCAGAGGAAGGTGAAAGAGTAAAGCTGAGCTGGGCTGTGGAAACGAAAGCATGTGGCGTTGGGCAGTGAGGCGCCACCACCCCAGCTGAGCCCAATATTCCCCTTCTTCTGTGAGCTGAAGCTCAGACATCTCAAATGTTCAGATGAGAGACTGAGACAGAGAAACAGACCCACAGATAGACAGATGCCCCACAGCTACTACAGCCTGATGTTCTATGTTAGGGGGTTTTTGATCTTTAGATCTTCTAATTAACAGGGTGAAGGATGATTATTAGTGGTTTATCTGTTATTTAACAGACACATCTGTCTTCCAAATGTGCACAGTAAACCTAGAAGGACTTCACTGTGAGCTCGGCACCCTCTCGATGTGTTAACGCGCACAGTTCAGAAGTAACTCTTCTAACATGCAGCTACTTCACATTCGCATGAACAGGCTGACTGAAGGCTCCCACAGCAAGGAGCGCTGTGGGTCACTCTACTTGGTTCCCATCAGCAAAGGAGAGAAACCCGAGTCAGTGAGGACTCAGGAACTTGGCCCGGAGAAGTAGGGAGATGAGTGGCTCAAGCACATGGCTAGGACCCTCTAGACTCGTGTGACTGTTTTAAGAAGACATGAAATAAAACCAGATGAAAAAAAGTGGGTAATAAAAGAAAACACTTATTAAAATCTTTGCAACCCATGGTGATGCCATGTTAAATTCTACAATTAAGATTGAGGTCACTGACACCTGCAGGCTTTGTAAAAGATGGTCCCACGATGCACAGACAACATGAGGCTAGCCTGTGGGCAATAGTTCCACCTACGATACGAAGATGCTTCCCAACCTGAGCTGCGCCCTGGCCATCCTGCACAGCAAGAAAGGCTGTTGCTTACCTTTGCCCCCTTCTTTGTCAGCAGACACACCAGCTTCATGTGGCCGGCAGCTGCTGCGTAGCACAGCGCGGTCATGCCGTTCTCCGACATTCCATCCAGGCAGGCACCATATTCCAGGAGCAGGATGACAACTTCCTCATGGCCAAGGTGAGACTGGACGCAGAGGATGGGGGCATTGTTCAACACTTCGGTCCTGTAGTTCACATTGGCCCCTGCCAAAATCAGGAGACGGCTCACCTGTTGGACAGTATCCCCAACAAGATTAATTTATCACATTCATGTTAGGGTCAATACGTTTGCACAAAAGAGCAGTATCTTTACTTTTTCATATAGTTTTAATCTTAAAGACATCAACCAGGAGAACATATGCTAATGCCCATTTTCACTGATGTGGAAGCAAGACGGCGCAGCCCTGACGGGAAGCTCATGGTCCTCCCCATAACGCAGAAGTAAACTACTCTAGGACCCAGCGGCTGGCATGAGGTATACACCCAAAGTAACTGAAAGCTCATCTCAAAGCGCTTTCTTTGCACCCATCTTCACTGGAGCATCTTTCACAAAGGCCAAGAGGCAGAAGCAACCCCAGTGCCCAACAAGAGACGAACGGTTTAAGAAAATGTGGTACAAACATCTAGTGAAACAATATTCAGTTTTCCAGAGGAAGAAATTTCTAACACATGAAACAACAGAGATGAATATGAGTATCGTAAGTAAGTTAGATGCAAAAATATAAACACTGTATGACCATGATAATTAGTACCTGGCGTGGTCAAAAGCACAGAGACAGAAACTGAAATGGTGGGTTTCAGATCCTGCACAAAGGGGGAAAAATGAGAGCTGTTTAATGCTCAGAATTTTAGTTGTGCAAGATGAAAAGGTCGAGAGATTTAAACAACAATGTAAACATACTTTATTAAACAGTACTTATAATGGTAAATTTCCTTTTATGTATTTTTTATCACAATTAAAAATAAAAATTTAAGCAGGCACAGCCCGCCCCCTCCCCCTCCAATTCAGGAGGTCTTGGTGGTGCATTTTAATGAGTTCCCATGAGATGCAGATGCCGCTGGCTTGGGAATCATACTTGGAAAAAAAATCCTATTCAACCTAAACAAAAATTGAAACTTCACTTTCTGGCAATTAAATAATAATCAGAAGATTAAATAATTAATGAAGAGATCAAGACAAAAGAAAAGACAAATATCCTCTTTTCCTTATATGCTCTATTCCTGAAAGAAAAAGTAGAACTTAAGGAAATGTTCATGCCACCCTGGGACTGTTAGCAACACAATATACTAACTAGAGATTTTTCTATTGCTTTTACTAATTATTACCCCCACCATTCACTAAACACTTTGGATCAAGATATCAGGGAAAACAGTATACCTCCAGATTTCAAAATAAACTCACTGAATATGTGCAAAATTTAGCTATCTCAGTATTTCCTTCAAATCTCCAGGTCACCAGAAACACATGATGCTCCCTCCACACCTACTACTGCCCCGTATATTTCTTCAAACAGTTCCCTTCAGTGGCCCTGACCTGCATCCATCACGTCCTGGCCAAGCCCTTGCAGAACTTCAGGGATGCCCATTAGAGGCTAAAACCATGGAGACTGCATCATTTATTTGGCTGGAGATCATTGACAGCTCCAGAAAGATGACAGGCATATAAAATCCAGGGTATTCCAGTGACATGTGTCCACCATAGTAGCTGACAGAAGAACATTTACAAACTGAAAAGTGCAGAAGACTGATACTACCAGATGGTGAAACTAGGGTGTATGATGACATACTGGCAAGTTGGAATCCAACACATAAACTCTGACATGTCTGGGTCACTGCAGAAGCCTGAACCCCACATTGTAAGACCTGGAACTCTGACTTCTTCTCTGCCCTTCTCTTGAGGTCCATCCCCTGGAGTCTTTCACTGAAGCACCCTAGCCAGGAGGCAAACCCAAAACTGCCTAGCAGGCTCCAGCCTAAGGGCCCCGGCCATCTAGGCCCCCTTCCTTGTAGACACAGATGTCCAAGGATCACTCCTGATGGGCCCCCACTCCAAAGCCAGGACCCCAGGGAGGTGGCCCACGCTGCACAGAATATCCCAACCTGTGCACTAACCAATGTCAGACCCCACACAGCAGGTCCTTCACACCACTAGACCTATCACATACATGTAAGGAAGGACAAGTCACATAAAGTGATGAGAAGGCCTCGTGGAGCCAGAAGCTACCCTGACCATCAGCTCAGCAGGTGAGCACCAATCAGCCTCTCACCTCTGCCACCCATTGCCAACCAGTAGCTGTGCAAGGGAAGGCAGAAAACACAGGGTGGGCAAGAGATCAGGAAAGGTGTTCCTGTCCTATCGCTGACAGTTAACGTGAGGCTCAGATGAACGACCTCGTTCCCTCTGCTGTCAATCTATATAGGTTCACTCTTAAAAATACTGCCAGATTCAAGTAAAAAACAAAAACAAAAACAAAACTATCAAATCATTTTAAAATTCTAAGTGCTAAATAAAGTAAGGGCTTTAAAATTTTTCCCTTTAACCATTAACCTCACGATAAGAATAAGGTTATGCTAAAGAAGTACTTGGAAATTTTACTCTCAAGATCTAGGACGTTAGTCAGAGTGGAGAGTACAGATGATGTACAAGCACAGAGGTCACAGGGGTGGGACAGCATGGGACAGGCATGGACAGTCTCTACAGTCCTTAGATGACTCTGCGGGCCACTTACAGTGTCCCCAACTCACCAACCCCACCCTTTCTTGAGACCCACTGAGTGGTCTGAATTCTCAAACAGTCACTTTAACTCACTGTGTGACTCTCAGAAACAACCTCTCTGTGCTGCCGATGCCTCCTTTAAAAAAAAGGCAGGCCACCACCCCATTCTGCCCAGCAGCTTCTCTCTAAGACAAAGTAGAGAATATATACATTCAGTCCTGCGGTGAAATGCCTTACGAGACTTCACCTGGAAGGTACGTGCTTAAAAGCCGAGCTTTCCTAATGATATCTGTCATCAATTCACGCTTTATCTGCTCCTGAGGAAAACAGGTCTTTTATCGGTACATGGTGCAGGTGTTTCTACCATATAACCTCCCACTAGTTTATGGATCCTCCCTGACCTATGATTCTCAACCCTGCTGTGCCATGAAACCCCTGGGAACATGAAAGTTTCCAGTGCCTGGGCCCCACCCTTGGAGATTCTGACTTAACTGGGACTCCAGTTGCGGCACCTAGAGCTCCCCAGTGAGTCTGCTCAGAGACAGGTCTGTAAACACATCAAGTGACAAATGCACCTGCTGACATGGGTCCATGCACTAGCTGCGTGAAATGGGGAATGCTACCAACCCTAAACCTGTATTCCACCAACAGAAAAATGGAGACAGGAACAGTTTCACTTCGGCCAATGTTGTAAAAATTAAAAATGGATGTGTAAAAAATGTGTGTGTGTATCATTTAGCATAGAACTCAGTACACCAAAGGTGTTAAAAAGTATTAACTGTTACTGTTACATTACGGTTTTGTAGAGTCTTGAGAAGGGACAAAAGCACAGTTCCCTGTTAACCTAAAGATCTGCCCTTTCCTCTCGGGACCATTCACAGCACAGGGTAGCAGGGAGATGTGGCAGGGTGGGGAGCAGACCTGATTCCCCACAACTGTCAACTGCAGCAGGCAGCTCTTCCTCACAACCCCTGCCAGGCCCACCCAGAAATTCCCAGGTGTCTTCAGCAGCCACTGACTCCAGAGATGAGGCAGGACACCTGACCTGGGCACGTAAACTATGCCAGGCATTTTCCCAAGAGCTTCGGCAATGAGGTTTCCAATCAATCCATAAGACACGGCTTTCTGTCCACTCCATTTCACAGGAGAGAAAACTGAGGATCAGAGCAAGTAAAGCAAAGAGGAGCTTAGAGCATAGAACTGGTCACCATCACTGAGCAGTGGTGGCAGAGCAGCTCTAGGCGGGCCATGCTGCCAAAAGGAAAGTGGTAACATGACTCATCCTATACATCTGCCCCAACTATATGGATATTTTCCAACAATCCTCACAAGCTCTCCTGGCCTAACGCCTGGCTGTGGCAGTGTTGTCTATAAAGGTAAGAATAACAAAAGTACAGTGGGTATAGGAAAAGTAAAGTGGGTACAGGCACAGGGAGGTGCTGGCCAGCGTGCGCACAGAGCGAGAGCCGCAGTGTCCTCACCATCTATTCCAGAAGCTCACGCAGGCACAGCTGCTATGAAATGTGCTCTAAATGGGACACGGAAGGTGCCTGGCTCGTCTGTCCCCTGCCAACAGAAGTCAGGCCAAGTGCTGGCTCATTCCTGCCCTCCCTGCCTTCAACTGAGCAAAGAATCACAACCTGGCAGCCAGTCCTGTGAGACACGACAGCAAAAACAAACAGCTGGATGGGAGCCTGGAGGTGCCTGTGGCCAGTGGCAAGGACCCCAGTGGGCCAGTCGGGTGCACACTGGCACAACCCTGACCTGGCAACGGGAGGCGATAGGGCTAGAAATTATTGGCATGCTTCTGAAACTACTCAGTAAGCCTTCCAGAGCAAGTCACTTTAATTTACCAAAGTGGCAAACTGCAATTATTGTTGAAAATGACATTCACTCCTGTATGACAACACTGAACACTCTCTTAAAAAACTTTAATTGCATGCATAATTTTAAATTACTGTAATTTGCTCAAGATTCTGTGAAAACCTTTTCTCCCTTTGAAAGATTAAAAAAAATAAATAAATAACCAGAAGCATAATGGAAAACCTTAAGGTTCTATAACCAAGTTGTAAATGCAGGTGACAATGGAATTTTATAAAACAAAGTAAAAATGAGCAACTCTTAAAATTGCAAATACTTAAAGAGAAAGGTTTATAATCGCAGAGGAGCCAACCTCATTGCATTATTATATTGTATCTTTTAATTTTCTATTTTAAAAACTCATATTCAGTAGAGTATGACATTTCCCATTTACTTTTCTTCATGTTAAATAATGTCTGTGTCCATAAATTCATTAAAGTACTGAAAACAGATATTGCCATTCTTATTATTTCTTTGTTATAGTTTTATTAAGGAGAAGCCAAATGATATACTATTAGCTAGCTTGAAAGATGAAACGATGTTATTATCACAGCCTAAGTTCTAATTTCTATAAAATGTCAGTGAAAAAACTCCTAATGCAGCATCCTTTATATGGGAAATCTGAACTCCAAGGGCTACACCACCTTTTTTTTCCTTCAGAGTGACTTCATCTAGAAAGAAAGCATTCTCTCTGACCAGGAGCAATGTCTTGGAGCTGGGCCTCAACCTGGACTACATGAAAGGTTTTCTGTTGAGTGTGGTAGCAGGTGGATCACAAATTTGAGTCCAGCCTGGAAAACTTATAGGAAACCTGTCTCAAAAGAAAAAAGAAAAAGAAAAACAAGGCCTGGGCTATTGCTAGTTAAGAAAACTCTTAGGTTCAGCCCCCAGTACTGGGGTGGAGTGCAAGGTGCGAAGAAACTTCCTGCCCATCCATTTGTAAAACCTACGCGCAGGTCCAGGGAGGATCCACACACTGACATCTGCCAGTCTGAAGGTGAGCGATAATACAAAGGGGCAGGCATGAAGCAGGGCAGGACACAGGGTCCCTGGGCCAGTCCCACAGCACTGTTCTACTCACAGTCACCTGGCCATACTCAGGGAGTCAAACCTGAAGTCCAACACTGCTTCTGCCCATCTCCTTCCAACTCTGATGAGGGCTGGTTCCACTTGGACAAGGTGTGCTTTTAAACTGTGGAAAGACACCATCTGCAGACCACAAACAGTGGTCTCTATTCTATGGCAGCAGGGTTCTAGCTCTCAGGTAGGCAGGAAAATACAGGTTCTTGGGCTGTGTGATACAGCACACATGTTCTAGACTGCTAGGTTCTCCTCAGGAGCCTCAGGCAGCTTTGAGACACCCTCACTTTTCAGAATCACCAGGGAGCTGCACAAGGGAGAGGCAGCAGAACACATCTCTAACCAGATGTGGGGAACAAGACCAAATTATCCCCAGAGTACAGGTGCTGAGGATGAGGTGTGTGGACAGCAGGGGAGAAGAGGCAAGAGTGTCTGCATGCCTCCAGTGACTCCACTTCTGGAATCCCTCTCTCCCAGGTGGGGGTGAAGCACGTGAGGACAAGGGCACCTCAGATGCCTGGAAACTCTTCACTGGATGTCCATGCTGAGCCTCCTTTGTGTGCTAAGACAGGAGACACATCATTTCATATGAGAGATGTCAGGGGAAAGGCCTGACTCAGTGGGAAGCTGCCACAGGCTCAAAGTCTTGAACACGTCTCTGTGGCCTCGACCAGATACTTAGCTTTCATCACACGGACTCCATATTTAGACTGCATTAAATGGGGAAAGAAAATCTATCTTACAAAGCAGAGTAAATTACAGTATTATCTTGGTTCACAAACTTGATTCTTTCCATGATTCTGGTCATAAGCTGAGGGGGATAAAAACCAAATCAAATTCAATGGTGAGGTTCAATGTTGACCTTATGGGGAAGTTGGATTTGGTTCTGATACAGTTCAGTTTGTCATCAGAATCGTGGAGGGAACTGATTCATGCACAGAGGTACCACTACATTCTGATGTCAAAGCCACTGACCACAGAGAAAAGAAGTTGTTGGCTTAGTAGACAACATACTTTCCGTGTACATATGTGTACATGTAATCCTTACTAATGGTTTCCTGTGTACTTATCTCTGTCACTCATCAATGCTTCATGTCCTGTGAAGCAGAGAGAGATGGTCCAGATGAATGACTCAGGATACCTGAGAAAACCATTTTCCCTAAAAATCTCCCTTTGACCTTGGGCTCCCTTTGTAAATTGCTTCATCACATCAAGTTTTCAAATGTGGTCATGTGCACACACAGCAGCCCAAGCACCTGTACCTTCCTGCCAGCCCGAAAGCTAAAGATCCAAAACAAAATATGTTTTATACTACAAATATCTGTTAGAAGCTTCCTGCCCTTTTCAGACTACCCACTGCCAGGGGTAGAACTGATGGAGGAGGAACAGGCCTAGCTGGGCTCTGTTCCCTAGGCAAAGGGCTACTCACCTTCACATTGGGTGTATAGAGATTCCGGAGAGAGGAGAGGGCGGCAGACAGCCCCTCAGTACTATACCCAATCCACAGGGCCTGCAGATGGCTCGAGGAGATTCCAGTCTTCTTACTGAGGCCCTGAAAATGACCAGAGATAAGAGTGCCCTGGGCATCAGTTGCCACACAAGGCATCAGTTTCAAAGTGGGTCTTCCCCAGAAGGTCAGGTGTGTGGGGAAGGCAGTAAAGTTCACACAATGCCTGAATCTCTGACTCCTTTGACTAAAACAAAAGGCCAAGGAGTCAGCCTGCCTTTGCCATGTGAACTATATCCCTGGAGAAAGAGATGGCAGATATGGGTAGTGTCCCTTTATAGAAGTCATACAGAGAGGAAAAATAAATGACAGAATTAGAGAATGACTGTCTGCAACCCAGTAAGTGAGCACAGGTAGTGGCCGGTACGAGCTCGTAGTATCATCAAGTGAGAAGCAGGCACAAATGCTGCACCTCCTGAGGCCAGAAACTCTCACAAGCACAAAGTAATCTTGACCAATGACATGTGGGGGGGGGGGGGAATATGTTAAATTCCTCCAGGAGAGACACAATCAGAAAATACAGTGACACAAAATTACATGGGTCAATATGCTCAAATTCTTTGACAAGTACACAACAAGGAAACAAAAGAGAATGAATGAAGGCCATCTGGATGAAAAGAAACTGCAAAGGGACTCAGAGGGGAAATCAGTCAAACTGAACTGCAACATTTAGATACACACTCGTATGATAAAACAGACATACAAGGACAGGACAGTAACTCAGAAGCATGGCTGTTTTTAGAGAAAGGAAAGGAACTGCATTTGGAATATGGTTCATGGAATGCTTCTGAGATGGTGCACAAAGCTGTCTATAAAATCTCTACAACTACAAGACAACAAGAAGAACCCTTCCTCCTCTAGAAGCTGCCTCACCTTGAAAATGTGCGCCTTCAGGATGTGGTGGCCGAGCTCCATGGTCTGCTGGCGGTTCAGCCTGCCCTCCTGCCGAGAGAACATGAATGCCAGAAGAGCGTGTCCATTCCTAGGACAAGAAATACAAAAGCACGAGATGAAGGCCCCATCCCACTGTACCGCGGGCCCTCAGGTATGCATCACCACACACTTCCCGAACAGCCTTCCTGTGACTCTCACAAGCCTTGAGTTAACTGTTGCCTCTTAACAAACAGGACAAGCATTGCTTGCTTTTGAGTCATTTTAAAGGCATTTTCTGAATTTCCCTCTCTGTGCAGAAGCTCATACCCAGGCTCTGGCTCAGAGTAGGGCTGTTTGGGGAAGCAGACAACAGGATGGAGAAAGTGGGTTACTGGGAGCACGCACCGGAGAGGTGTACTTCCCACAGTCCCTCCTCTTTCTCTCTGTTTCCTGTCTGCCACGATGTGAGCCACCTTCATTCATCATGATGCTCTGATCACCTTGGGCGTAGAAGCAATGCAGTCAAGTGACCATATTGGAAAGCTCTGAAATCAGCAGTCAATGGAAACACAGACTAGATTTGGCAGCCAGGACATGGCCTGCAATGCCTTGGACAGCTCCTCCTATCAGCAGTGGCCTTGTTATACCTATTAACGTCTCATCCAGTCACTGCTCAATGTAGCAGCATGGAAAAGTCTGCTGGAAACTTGTTTCTAGCCTACGTTTCTAGCTCAACCCTAAGAAGTCATGACCAGGAATGGGTCCTCAAGGAGCCCTAGCACCAGAAGGAGAGGTGAGTATGTTATGCTCCTCCTGACAAAAGTGCTTACTACACCTGGGAGGCATCCTTTCTCCCACACTAATTAGGGAAATATAAATCAAAATGGTGATGAGATACCACATCACTCCAGGAAGAAGAGGTATTATCAAAAAGGCCAAAGACAGTAAATCCTGGTGAACGTATGGACAAAAGGGAACCCTTGCATGTGTTGGTGGGTATATAAATTAGTACAACCACTATGGAAAAGAGTACTAAGGTTCCTTAAACAATTAAAAATGAGGGGCTAGGGAGATAGCTTGGTGGTCTAAGCACCCGCCTGGCAAGCGCAAGGACCCAGATTTAATCCCTAGTACCGCATGCCACGCCTGCCCTGAAACTGGGCATGGTGGTGCGTGCCTATAATCTTTGAGTGCAGGGGATGCAGAAACAGTAGGATCACTGTGGGTCTGAGCTGTGCAGCAAGACACTGTACCAACTAAATAAAGAAAAGAAAAAGGAGACAAATATATTTTAAAAAATTAAAAATGATTCAAAAATCCTATCACTTTATTTATCCAAAGAAAATGAATCAGTATGTCCAAGAGATATCTATATCTCCATAGTTATTACAGCATTAGTCACCAGTTGAGAAGGAAACAACTTAACTATTCAGCCATAAACAAGAATGAAACAGTGTCACTTGCAACAACTTAGATGGAAATGCTGTCAAGTTAAATAGTTCAAGCACAGAAAGACAAGTACCACTTAATCACACTTTTATGACCAATATAACCAAGTTGAGCTCACAGAAACCGAGAGTAGTTACCCAGCAGCTGGGGAAGAGATCAACAGGTACTGAGTTACAGCTTGACAGGACCACAAAGTCCTGGGGGGCTATCCTATGGCAGGGCGACTAGAAGGAACTGTACATTAGCAGGTCCTGTTAAAAGCATATTTAATGGTCACCATCTCTAAGTAAGAAGATACTCACCCTTTTTACAGATAAGGAAGTAAGGCTGTACATCCAGGAAAGATCTCAATCATGGGATTGAGATCTGCATCCAGGTGTATAAGACTGGATCCAAAAGTATTCCCTGTGTGTTTTTATGTTCATAGGTATTCTAGAAATAGCTTTGAGGTCTAGCAACAAGACTATGGAAAAGTACATAATTCATCTACTAGGAAGTTTGTGCAGCCATTACAAATTAAAATGATACTTTTCTAAGATTTGCTACCTGCTTATTAGGGCCCTAGCCCGAGAGCCCACGATGAGTTAGGCAAAAAGGGCCACACAGGTGCACACACACTCATAATACAAAGTGTTCTCCCTGCTCCCTTGAAGTAGGACAAGAACACAAAGAGAAAAGATGGTTTTTGTAACACTTAAAACACCACTGAAAGAAGCAGAAATGAAAAGAAAAGTGTCACTGCTTCTGGCTGTTGGGTTCTCCTCCATTTCTCTCTGTAACTAGGACAAAAACACAGCTGTCTAGGTGAGGAGGAAATGCTACCTGCTTTAGAAACCAAATCTAAATGTTTAGTGAAACATTTTCCGGAAACGGCTTCCCTCACTGGAGGTTTTCCCACCCTTTCCTCAAGTCCTACATGCAGCGGCTCCCTTCCTGCTAGTTTTTTACTAATACACAGCACAGATTGTTACCTCTACTCCCTTTCTGGCCTGCTCATCTTGTTTGCTTTGCAGAATCCCTTTAAAAAGAGCAGGTCTTTATGCTAGGAATCTGTACCCAATAATGCTCTACACATAGTAGAGCCGCTAAAACTGAGCAGCATCAGTCACTCCTTCCAGTACTGTTCTGTGTTTTTTTTGCTGACTGAAGCTCATGAACCAAGGATTTTTGTGGAAATGCTGACTCTCATGACACCAGAGGGAGCATTTCCTTAACTTTCGGACCCGCAGCATCCCTTTTGCCTCTACCTGGTATAGACCCCACCTCAAGAGATGTTCCCCACATTTACACTAGGAGCAGAGTAGCATCAGGAGTCTGCAAATGCCATTGTTGACCAGTAGTCACCACACACCCCAGCCTCCTGTATTGTCCCAAATGAGGCAAAGCTCACTGATGTCTGAAGTTAATCACTTCTGCCACAAACCCCAGAGGCAAACCTACACCCCTTGAAATCTCAATTTGCTTTCATGCCACAAATACACCCATCACCAGCCCTTCTAGCAAATGATCTAAACTTCTTGAAAAAAATAAAAATCTGTTGATCAGGTACAGTAGAGCACACATCTTGCCTAGTGTGTCCTGTCCCAAGCCAGGTTCCAAAGTTAACAAGAAACCTGGAGCCCAGTGTCACCTAAGAAAACCACCGCCACAACACAGAAGCATGGCGAGACTGGCCAGATGACATTAGGTCAGTGTGGCAAAGGTGGCTACGGGGCTGACAAGCACTCACTCATGTCTTCATCTGCAGGCCCCAGTGTGTGGCCCAGGGCCCACAACAGTCCTGAGGGCACAGTCTGGCACTTGCCAGCTCTGTAACTACAGCAGGAGGCAATGCTCGCTCAGGACACTGCTGATCAGAACAGCAGAAATGCAAGCTGAGACCAGGCAGAAGGGGAGCGCTTGCCCCCATCTGAAGGCACAGCACCCTCTCCTTCCTAACCTCTTGTCCCAACTTGGACCAGGTCACATGACAAGCGGACAAAGAGGCTTGTCTCCCTCGTGGTCCTGTAATCTCATCAGCCCACGCAGTGAGAATTGCATCCTGGTCTGGTCTGTTAGCAACATCAAACAGAACCACTAACATAAATGAAGGCAGCCAGGTCAGATACCGGGGCACCTTTGGGACCACAGACACCTCTGACCCTTAGACAGGGCATGACATGTTAAAGAGGTAGCAGGGAGCATCAGTGCTGAAGGTCCACACCAACCCCACGTCCATAGGTGGCCACCTCCAGAGATGTTCGATTCTGTGAGCCAGAGGTCACACTGCCTATGACCCCATCAAAGCTAGGATGGGAGTGGATGGAGATCTGTGACTGAAAGGGCAACAAGGAAATGTCATCCCAGATCACTTCTCTTCCTCTCAAACACAATGAAAGGCCTTAATTCTAGCAATCAAAGGGAAGACGCTTTTGTGTAGAAGTACTGAAAATTTTTCTCTGCCCCTCCTTCTGCCAAAAAGGGCAGAAAACAAAGCAGCATAACTTAATTATTCATTCTGAGTTACTGTTCTGTGAAGTAACGTGGATCCTATTTGAAACCTTCTGTCTTTTGAGGGCACAGGAGACCCTTTGAAGAGCTACCTGGAAGCGGGCTATCCTACCTGGGCTCACACAGGAAGGCTGTGCTTTCCCCATCTGCTCTCCAGACAAGCCATTCCCTAAAGGATGGGTGGCAGAACATGCGGGTTTTGTCTCGTCTCTTAATGAGAAAGCAGGAGAGGGCATCCATCCTCTGCTGAAAGTCCTCCCAGTCCTGTTCGCCTTGGATGTGGCCAGCATTAATAGCCTGAAAAATCTGCTCGTCCGTCATGGGGTGGAGAGACGCAAGGGCCACATTTAAAATTGGCAGGGCTCTCTCAAAGGCAGATTGGGTCATGAACTTCATGTTGCACTGCAGCAGATAGAGCTCGGACAGGGACACAGGCACCACTTTGTAGCTGGCACTTTTGATGACCAAGTGTCCTCTCTGGAAGAGGTCCAGTGTGAGTTTGAGGTACAGGTAGGAGCCAAGGCTCCGTAGTACCAGGTGGTTGCTGACCTTCCCAATGAGGGCAGCATCAGCCTTGCCATTCAAGGAGATGTTGCTGAGGATGTCCTGGCTGCTGTGGACCCTGTGCTGGATGTAAGCATGTAGGTCACTGTGAATGTCCTTGTTGTCTGGGAAGTCATCCAGGGAAAGCTTGACGAATGGCAACTCACTTACAATTTCCTGCAGAAGAATTAAAAAAAAAAAAAAACACACACAGTGTCAGTCTGTAGAGGTTCCTTTTTTATTTTAGCAGCATTTTAAGCCAGGTTCACTAGTTTTCTTTCAAAGAGGATTTTCATGGCTTACAGGGACTCATTGTTTTGTATTAAAACGTGTAATAGGATAAGGTACAGATAAAAAGCTTATGTGAAAGAAATCCTGTGGCAAGATAGAATCAGTAAAGGGTTTCCCAAAGCCCTCATCAGGGGCTCAGATCCAAGCAAGCAGAGAGAGGTACCTGACCAGATAGTAGCAACCAGGCCACTACAGTAAAGGAGCAGGGAGACCCAACAGGTGATTGATGCCCATAATCCTCACACTGTGCAGCTAGTTACATAACCAGCATACATGCAAGCCAGCACCACACATCTAAGAATACAGCTGGACGATGAGGTAAGAGGTTGGGATGCCCTCCGCAGAAGAGCCTGGGAGGGCAACCCAATCAGGGAATCTGAGCCCATCCCCATCCTCTGTCCCTGGACAGTGGTTAAAAAGCTCCCTGCCTGCTCAGATGTAGCACACTGCCATGTTTTAAACTGATTTTAAAGTAAACTTCTAAACGGGGAGACCCATAAACACACTGATCTACAAACCATAATTGTGTCATTATTTTTCACAAAAACAAATACGACTATGTAGCCAGAAGCCAGAAACACCATCACCAGTTCCTGGAAGACTGTGTCCCTTTCTGGTCTCTCCTTCATTGTAAAGATAAGCACAACTCTAATATCTCACAGCAAAGAGCACCTCCGAACTTCCCACTATCATTTCTGAAGTATTAAAGCACTATCCCTCTTTAATTATAGGGTGAGGGCAGGGTATAATCACTCCCATTTTACATGGATGCTAGTTGAACTTCTGAATACTCACACAGCCAGGAGGCAAAACACAGGACCCTACTTCTATACTCCACTGAAAAACATATCAATCAAATGTCCATAAAGATTAACATCAAATTCAAGTGAGGTGTAATCCCACTGTTAGACAGAAAACAACAGGGCCGCCGGGGAAACGGCTCAGTAGAATAAGCACTTGCCTAGCAAGCGCAAGCACCTGAGTTCAATCCCTGGTACTGCCAAAAAAAAAAAAAAAAGAGAGAGAGAAAACAGTATCAAAATAACCTTGGGTGTTTTCAAAAAATAAATATCTTCATAAAAGGGCAAAAATCAAAATACAGTATCTAACTGTCTTTACTGAAACAAGATGGGCACAAAGTTAATGTTTTAAGATATAATTTTGGGGTTCAAATGAAGGGAAAGCTGGAGAAAGAAAAAAAAATCAGCTTTTGCCTCATCGCAGGTGTTAAGCATGTTGAAGTTTAATGAAAAAGCAGATTAGCTTAGAATATGCCTTAAAATCTCTTTGAGGAGAAGAAACTACAGGAGAAGGGCCAGAGAGCAGTTCAGTGGTACAGCTTAACGCACACTAAGTCTTGGGTTTGAACCCCAACACAGCAAAATAAAAACAAAAACAGTCTCACAAAGCCACCCTACCACCAGCCACACACTCTAACTTTGGGAAACCAGGGCTGAACAGAGCCATCTGAGAAGGACAGGTCCAGCTCTATGCGGATGGACCTGACATCTCAGACATGCCAGGCAGCCTGCAAAGGCCAGAGTTCTGCCCTTGTGATACAGCTTAAGTTTTCAAAGTTCTGACATAGGTTTGGTTCAGCAGTAAAATGGATTACAACAATTTCAATTTTGAGTATTTATCACCGTAAAACTGGGACATGGGGAGTTGAGCAGAGATCAGAGAATTTTTTTTGTTACCTGAAAATTTGCTCTTACAGTCACAATTAACTTCAACCAGGCAGGAAATTTAGAAATAATTTTGGTAATAAATGAAGAAAGCGTATCTCCATAATCAGGTTTATGAAACTCAGCTTCATTTAATCCATCTATCAAAATAATGTATTCTTCTTCAGGAATTTTCTGCTCTGAAGGAGAAAATTTTTCAAATTAAATTTTATGCATTTCTATATGGTGATGCCACCCAGTATATTTTAATGCACAGTTTAAAGTGTTAGCACAAACTAAAAAGGTTTACATATGGCGTAAGACATAGCTTTCACAGAAGCATATTTGCTATTAAATTTATAATGAAAATCTGAGCACAGAGCCAAAAGAAAATCAATTCTTGCAAAACAGTTTTCAGAAACATATTGCATTACACGCATTAGCAGAATATCAATCATGTACATCGTACAGTTGGCTCTTCATAAACCACTGTCACAGGGCAGCCTATAGCAGAGATAGCTGACACAGAGACCAAATCTGGAAAAGACAGTAGGTGCCCTGTAGAATTCCTCAGTGGGTTCCAGTCAAGGAGAGCTGACCCACATGCCCAAGAGCTAGGTGTCTGGTCCAAGACGTAAGAGTGTCGAAAGCCTTGCCTTACAATCTTCCTAGAGGCTAAGTCTAATTTTGTTAGTGCTAGCTCTCTGTCCAAGGAATGGAGAGACGATGACATCTGTTTCGCTCCTTCTCTCTAGCACCTTCTAGCAGAAATGCTATGTAGGCAAGTAAAGAAGCACAATACATAAGGAGAAAAGAGGAGACAGTGGGAAACCTGAAGGGCCCAGAATGTCATCAACATGTCCTACCTTCTGGAACATCTGGGAGCTTTAGCCACTGAGAATAAACATACTGCAAAAGTCCTCCTCAAAAATCCACTTATTGCCCTGATGTCTCGCAGTACAAAATATACAGGCAATCATTTTCAGGGTGCAAGTATTCTAAAAAGCTTACAGTTATGAGGGAAACTAGAATACGTGTCTCCAAAATATGAAGCAGGATCCAAATTTGTATTCATGCCCCATGCCCATTTCTACCAGAAAAGCCAGAAGTTAACCAATGGAAACAAGTACAAAGACCCTCACCAGCTGCACCTGAGGAACCTACTTGGTGAACCTTATTTACCAGCCCTTATTTGCCTTTAGTTTTCCCATATATTCTCCTCCCCAGTTTCTCACATCAGGGAAATTATAGCTGCTTTCCTTGTCTTCTCTATAGCACTCTTCTTGGTGAAGATCCTATAGGGGCCAGGATTTTAAAGGCTCCCTGTTTAGTTATCTTTTGCTGAGGTTTCTCCTGCATGGCACATACTGTGCATGTCAATAAACTCATTTTCTACTGTCAGTTAATTTCAGACTAAAATATTGAGCCTAAAAGGGTAGAAAGTCTCTGCTCCTCAATACTTACAGACTGGTTTCTGTGAAACCTCAATCGTACAGCTTATTCATTTTAGAGATGTTTCATTGAAACTATGCCACTGGAGAAAAGGGGAGAAGGCTCAGTAGCAGAGCATATGCCTAGTAAATGCAAGGCCCTGGGTTCAATCTCTAGGACCACCAAGAAAATAACCACAAAGCCATGAAAGCTACCACAAATGGGTGTGGAAGGACTTAAAGAGACAGTTCTACAGAGGAAACCAAATGGACACCTTCTCCCTGATGGCCTAGGACTGCTGACCACTCTCCTTCTGAGGGCCATCTGGATGTGCTGAGCTGATACAAGGGAGAGGGCTCTGGGGCTGCCGAGGTACCGTTTCGCAGGTTCACAAGTGGCTCCAGCACTCCCCTCTTGAAAGCAGCCACAGGATCCTGCACACAGGAGCGGAGGCTCAGCATGCTCTGCAGCTGGGGCTCCTTGATCAGAAGGTCTCGGTAGGCGGCCAGCTGGTGGGACCGGCACAGCAAAGCTGCAATGCTGTGCACAAACTCAGGTACCAGGCACGTGTACGTGTTGTCGGCCTGGCAGTAGTGGTAGGCTACCACCTGCAAGGAAGCAAAGCCAATGGTGTCACCACACTCTCTCCACACAACTCAAACAAGCAGCAAATCTGCTGTGCAGCAGGGTAACCACACACACTGCTTCTGTTTCCTAAGACTGAGCCGTTAATTAGCTTAACTGATTCACTTTTTCTTTCCCTCATTTGTGTGGCTTGCTAAGTTCTCCTCAGACCATTAAATGTAACTACAAATCCATCTTGATTAGAAAAAAAATCAGCACAACTTACTCTGTATTGAATAAAAGTAGTAAAAGTAGTTCATAAAACCTAAAGACCAGTGTGGCAGACAGCAATCCCAGGCAATCCCTGTGTCCTCAACACTGCTATCAGGAACAGCAGCACCTCTTCAGGGTTCCCTATGCTGACCCCAGAAAGCAGACAATGAAGTTTGTGGCTGTGATACGAAGGTGCAAAGTCACAGCTACTGCTTCCTACCAGCAGCAAAAGCTCAAGTTCTGAATCCTTCTCCCCAGCCTCCCTTCTGCAAGGGACCCTGGAGAAGTTGAACAGGAGCGCTGAAGAATGAAAATCAGAAATGACTTGGCACATAGGGGAGAGGGGGAGTTGCCAAGTACAGAGGACAAGGCACAGTCCCTTTGTTACAATGGATTTGCTGTGGCCACAGGTTGGTAGAAACCGCCGAGGCAGAGCTCTGAGGATGGGGAGGCATGCTGTCGGAAAACAAAGCATCCACGTGTGTGACACAAGTGCTCTGTGTTTTTGCACAAGGGTCTGAGTCACCATTGTCTCACCTGCTCTGCAGCCCTGTGCAGGAAGGAGAACAAGAGCCACTCACTGCAGTGCAAAGCTGAGGGCAGTAGGCACAGCAATGAAATTCCCTGCCCAGTGACAGGGACAGCAAGAGATCTCAGATGAGATCGGAGGGCCACAGACTCTTAGCAAGCAAGTGGCAAGAGGGAGCAGATGTTGAGAGGCTTTTCTCAGGCCAACCTGGAGCCACCACGTGACTTCTGGTTTAGAATGAATTTATCACCATGCTCAGGAAAGCTGAGTGTTCTTCAAGTTTCACCTGAACAAAGATTAGCAGGAGCATACGTGAGGACACCAGGAGCCTGACGTGCAAACCACCACAAGACACCTGTACCACTGTGTTGCACTGTTTCACAAAACCAACTTGGCAACCCAACAGAAGACTACGAAATTAATCTGAATCCACAAACAACTTATGGGATGTTTTTGGGGGGGGCGTGCCAGAAATCAAACTCAGGACTTTGCACTTGCCAGGGAGGCACTGTGCTGCTGAGCTATATACCTAGCCCCCATAAACTTTTTTTAAAAACTAAGTGAATTTAAATAACCAGAACATATAAGATGTATGAATAAGGCAGTTTGATGATACTTTTGCCTCAATTTCGTGTCTAATTATGTGTGTTAGAGTACTAGATCTCTAGTATAAGTCACACTTCTCAGTATGGGTGACAAGAGACCAGCAGGGGTAGCTTTGAAGTCTGTGCCGCATCCCTCATCTCAGATCAGCTGTTCATGACCACAGGAGTGCTCTGAATCACTGTTTAGAGGATCACGGTTGGCCCTGCCAAAAGTGGCTCTCATCTGTGAAGCAGCCAGGGATCTGGGGCCAAGGCACATTTATTTCAGTTCTCCTAGACCAACCCCACCTGTGGGAAACTTGTCATAAGACATTCTCCTCACTGCCACCTCTGGTGGTTCTCCACCTCCACCAACTCACATGGCTGCCAACCGAGAACCAAGTCTTCATAAGGGCAACAGATGTAACCACTTTACCCACAAGAAGACGGCTTATAAGCCAAAGATGGGTTCTGAGCAGAAAGAGAATTTCAGAAGGGCCCTGATAACATAGGATGGGAAAGGTAGTCAAGTTTCTTTTGCAGCTTTCATAAAAAATGTTCTAAGAAAAGGACACAGGAACCAAAGGTCCCCAGCTCTGGGGAGGCTGAGACCCTGTACTACATAAATAAAGTTTAAAAGTAAATCTATTTCAGATAGGTAAGTGTCCCCTGCCATTGTCTTTAGACACTTACTTTCACTAACATCTTTCCTTTGCAGTACTCAGTTGCTACATTTTCACACCAAGCAGTTGTTTTAATATCCCTTTTATGATTCACTTATCAGAAACCAAACTAGCAAATATCTAGAAGGCTCCCTGAAAGCAAAAGCACATTACTGGCCATCGAGATAGCTCAGTGGACTCGGCACACGCTTAGGTAAGTGCAGGGACCACATGTTGCGCTGGCCCCACACCCTCCAGGGTACCAAGACTGGGCATGGTGGTGCACGCCTGGATTACTACAAGTCCAAGCTGCGTAGAGAGACCCTGTACCAAATATGTTAAAAACAAAAACAAAAGCACATTACCTTAGAAGCAAGGTATCTGACCGCATCCTCTCTTGGCCTCTGGCTTTCTGAAGTACCAGAAGCAGGTGTTTTGGCCACCTTGAGACCACTGGTGGAAGAACTTGGTGAAAGCAGCGGAGTGAAAGGAAGATCCTGGGCGGGATCTGATGCTAGGGAAGAGAACCACCTTGTTATAACATTAGCATACAGGTAGAACAGGAAACAGAATATATTTCTTAATTAGAACCAGAGATACTGAGTGAACATGGACCAAAATGAGAGATCCAGTTGAGCACATCAACCTCATACCTACCTCCCTTCACCTAGGCTCCCTCCCTGAAGAGCTGCTGTTCCCTTCCTTCTTTTTCCTTTATTTTTTGGAGACAAAGTCTCACAATAGTCCATCTGGTCTCAAAACTTTTGAGCTCAGGTGATCCTGTTGCTTCAGCCTCTCAAATTAGCTGAGACCTTAGGCAACCACTCTCTCATTAGTTCTTCCAGAAGCCCAGTTGCCTGCTTTTAGGACCCACTCCCGGCTTCAGTTTCCTTTATTAAATTGTTTTGTTTAAAAAAAAAAATTTTACTATGCTCCCTGGTTCTTATTCACCTTAAACACACTCTCTGTAATGGGCTTACTCATATGAAAGAAGCAGTAAGTAGTCAAATATTTGGCTACTCTATCTCATGCCTTTTTTTTGAGACAGGATCCCACTATGTAGTTCAGGCTGGTCTTGAACTCACTATGGAACAAAGCTGGCCTTGAACTTGTGGCAATCCTCTTGTCCCACCTTCCCGAGTACTGGGATTATTAGGCATGTACCACCACACCTAGTCTCTCATGTCTTACTTTGTAATTTTGATAAATCTAGAAGATAGAGTCTATGAGGGAATGGAAAAACCCTGAGTAAAAAAGTAGAGAAAAGAACAAAAGAACCAAAAATGACAAACAGGACTCTGCATTAGTTCTTCCAAAAGCCCAGTTGCATGCTTTTAGGACCCAAAGTTCTCAAGAGTAAGGTTCAGGCCACCCTAGCCTATCTCTGCTTCAGGGAAACAGGGTTCCAGATCAGGGGAATATTAGGGAAGGCTGGCCTCACCCAGGTTGTAGCCAAATACACATGCCGACATGAAGTATCTGGATTGCTCCATTATTGTATGACTGCAAACTTTATGTAGTAGCTCAAACTTGAGCAAAACTGGTAAGTTCTATCTACCCAAACAGCAATTTCCTTCACCTACCTTAGCTGGTGTTTGTGGGGTTTTTTTGTTGTTGTTTTGTTTTTTTTGCGGAACTGGGAATTGAACTCAGGCCCTTGTGCTTGTCAGGGAAGCGCTTATTCCACTGAGCCATCTCCAACCTACCTTAGTTTAATCAACTAGACAATCATTACACATGGAAGCACTCTTTTGTAGGGGAGGGGAGACGGACCTTTAGGTGATGAGCTGGGGCTGCTGGAAGCAATCTGCCTCATGCGGCTTCCATGGCAGCTCAGCGCCACCAACTTGGAAATGATGGCCGTCTTCCCAAATCCCACGTTTCCAACAACAACTGCTCCTCTGTTCTCTGGCAGCTCTATGTTCCTCAAGTTTTCTTCTATCTGGTGAAAGAGCCAATCTCTTCCCACAAACACAGAGTCTGTTGTGATGCTTGGAACTTCGAACAGCAGGGGTTTCAACAAAATGTCTTGTGGTTTGTAGGGAGCAAATCGTGCTTTAAAAAATAATTTTACAAGAGCATCAATTTCATACACCAAGAAACGCAATATACTGTTGCTTGTGTGTTTTAAGTATTTTAAATCTGATTCCATTAACAGTCCTGTAATTTCAAATTTATCATACTCTACTGGTCCTGTAAAGTATCTTATTAAAATGATGTAAGTCCTTTCATGCCTCTGAGCTATTCTTGTAACCAAAACAAACACACACAAAAAGCAATGCAGAGGGCCAAGCCACATCTCAGTGGTTTTGCTGTGACCATATTTAAGACATGTTTCTTCCACTCCTACATAAGTAAAATACAAACATGTTTTCCGAGATGTAGGGCCACAGCTCTTATCTCAGGAGTGACTGCTCCACCCACATCCATGAGCTGCATGTGCCACATGGACAGTGCTGTAGACACGGGGTGCACAGGAAGCAGCTGGCATAGTGCAGAGAACAGAGGCAGAACTGACTGTCAGCAAGAACACAGAGTGCAAAGCTACTCTTCAAAATAAACTGCAGAAATTCCTTTCACACCAGAAGTAACTTAATCATATAGGAGAAAACCCCAAACATTTAAGCAGGCTTCCTAGAGCACCTCGTAGATTCATTTATAACACACACACACACACACACACACACACACACACACACACACGTCACACAGTATTTTTAAAGCAGTTGGTTTCCGTGCAAGTTATCGGAGACTTTCAATGTTTAGGGTGTGAGCCCACATCTCCATTATGACACTGACGCAAGGATAAATACCTTTAACTTCCTGTGCCCTACCTCCGGCTGTGTTGTGCCATGGCAACCTAATTGATGTCCGGAGAGGAGCATTTCTCTGCCCATCTAAATAACTCAGGTCTTCCAGTTTAGTAGAGCTTGTTGCTGTAATATTAAACAGGAGTTTGGTTTAAAATTGAGTTTAACATCATACCTACACTACTATTAAGTTATAAATTACAAAGCAATTCAGTTCAGACTCTTTAAAAAAATTTATTTGAAGTTATTTGCCTGGTCCCAGTTTGTTATTTTTCCAGCAATTCTGTTTATTGAACAGTAGTAAAAATCAAGCACAACTCATTCTTAAATCAAAGTTACGTTAATATGGTTGTCAACATTGCTCATTATTCCAAGCAAGAGACAGACTTCACCATAAAAACTGTTATGAAGAAATTTTGCAATCAAGCATCACACAGTAAAGCTTCACTGCTTACTGTAAATATGTGGGATGGTTCTGGATTCTTCCCCGGGGCACTGGGAAGCTTTCTGCTGTTTGGAATTCCAGCCTTAGTAATTAAATAAGTAGATTCTGCATGCACAATTCTGGAGCATTCAGAATACCAAAATTTCTCAGCAGTAAAAGCACAAACACTTTCAGTTTTTCAAAAAATATTTGTATGTATTTTTTAAAAAAATTCTAGAAATAAGCCATCACATTTATTTCTGACCAAATCTGTAAGATTCAGAGCATACATTTAAAAACATTAGGGGCAAGCATACTGCCACCCAAGTTGGAGGAATTATAAAAATACCTAGTATAAAAAGATTTTAATTCTCAGCAAAAAAAAAAAAGGCAAATATTACATGCTTTTGCCTTAAAAAACAATCCCCAAACCCTTGTATAGGTCATAAATTAAAAGAGAGATTTAAATAAAATTAACCTAAGTCCTGCCAATCTGAGACATATGATTATCTTCCAAGACAATAAAATATATAGGCACCTACAGGGAGTTGCACTCCAAGAATAAATGGCACTGGTGAAGACATTCATGGAACCAGGATGTAAGGGACAGAAATACAAAGGACCAAAGTCAAGCTAGACCATCTGTCTTCTGCAAACCCTCTTGCTATCAAAGGCTCCGACCTCCTGTCCAGTCACTCCTAGCACTCTCTGCCCTGAGCCCCTCTTGCTCCCCCATCTGAAGTTTCCTCATTGTCCACACCATTCCCTCTCATTCTGTCATTAGACAAGCACCTGAAAGGCTCCATGCTTGGCTTGAGGATGCCTTGTCCCCCACTTGCTGCATCCTCGAAGGGCAATCAAGCCTGGCCCCTACCTACACACCTTAGTAACCAGCAGAGAAACATATGGAATGCTGCCTTCATCACAGCATCACCTGTGCTCCTGGATCTTTCTGGTGTCTGGTGACGAGTTAAGTCTTGTCACTTACTGTGCACACACTTACATGAATACTCCGCACATACCAGTGTGCACATAAATCTCACCCATTAGAGGCAGCTCATTCCTCATGCAGGGTTTCTAAATGGATCTAAGTACAGTAACCCAATGGCACCTCCAGCTTCTCTCCAGGTCCTTCATAACCAGGGTGCACAAGCCTTTCTGGAGGGATAGCTCCGGTCTAGCCCCCTCTCTGCAGGTTCCCTCTGAAAACCCAGTTTAGAACGTATCTCTGGGTGTGCTGGGGAGATAGCTCAGTGAAATAAGCACATGCTTGTCTGGCAAATCCATAGTCCTGAGTTTGATCCTCGGTACCACTAGGAAAAAAAAAAAAGAACATATCTCTGGATTCTGCCTCTGACTTGGGCCTCTGACCCACCAGCCTGATACACCTTGCAGTGAATATGCCCCCCATGGCCCAGGCATAGAGCCAGCACAGCCAGTGCCCATATTCACCACAGAGCCAGAGCAGCCATGAGGGTCCTAATGCCACCCCGGCCATAGGGACTACAAAGACACTTAGAGCCAAAAGCATTTTCTCATTTCCCCTCTTTCCCTGATCCCTTAGAATACAACATTCAGTTTGCAATTATGTGACAACTAAAAGCATTAAAAGTATGCAACTATAAAGGATAGTCCAAATAAAAAACTACAAAAGGCTCTAATTTCACATGGATGCAGGAGGTGGTGAGATTTCAGGTGCCTGTTTTCAGATTTCCTACCACCACTGCTCCAGCTGCAAAGTCAGCAACAAAGCATCCTCAGCAACTCCACTGTGCTTGACTGATTCTCTGTTTCAAATGTGATTAAGCAGGACTTCAAGTGACCAGCTGCAAGCAGCAACCTCAGCTTTCCAAGTAAGGCATTTCTGAAGCTGCCCGTAGACATTGGAGCAGATACAGTGAAGCCTCAGCTGCTCAACCATGTGCCCAAGTGCTTCCCCTCTAGCACAGCAGGTGACTTGGACCTTTCCACCTTTTCATGCCCAATTCTGGGAAGTCGGCCTCACCTTATTAACAACATCTAAAAATCCTAAAAACTACTCATGTCTAAAAAAATTAGGGGTAACATAACAATTTCCTGCTGACGTAAACCTACTGCTAACATCTCAACAATGAAATCAATTACACATTTACTGTGCATGAGCGTGCACATAGTGTCTAACACCTGGTGAGACATAGCTTTCAAAATGCTACAGAAAAAGTTTGCTTTATAAGGGAGCAAGGACGAGGAAGAGACCTCTTAAAGCTGAACTAAAGAGCAAAAAATGTGCTAAACCAGAGGCTGTGGGCTAACCTATCAAAGGTAAATGGCAGTGAGTCAGAGCAATTACCCATTAGTGCTCCAAGAAAATTAGTTGGAACTCATTGGTAATGCATTTGCTGGTTTCCTGGAGAATTAAACAGTGCTCTGAAAGTATTTCAAAAAGAAAAAAATACAGTCAAAACTAGTAAAACCTATTGCCTAACTTCTTCTATATTACCTGATAGAATTTCAAAGGCTCCACATCCTATAATTTAATAGAGAAAAATCTGTCCATGTCATACATTTTGATGTGCTATGTAGCATTTCAAATCAATTCCACTTTAACAAATACCTTGACAAAGAACATCTCTGCATAGTAAAACAATCTCTAAACCTAGCCAACTCAGTTTTACAATCTTTGACAAAAAACTTTCACTGTGCTACACATTAGCAGATAGCCTCATTTCTTTCTAACAGGTTCAGTGACAATGAAGAAAAAAAATGACAAAAAATGCTGGCAGTCTTAAGAAGTAGTTCTATACTCTCAGCCTGGGCCAGTCCTATGGGGGTAAAGCTGTGAGGGGCTACAAACCAAGGCTTGGTATTATTCCCTAGTACTTACTCTTACTCTACTACCCCTATGTGCCAAAACACCTTTCCTACCAACTGGGAATTTATTTGTGTTTATGTGGATCTTACATACAAATACTTCCAAGAGATTTCAGAGTACAATCCTTCACATTTTATTTCAATCCATCTAAAATTGAGCAAAATCCATTAGGCCAGACAGTCTCTGTTCACAGCCAGAGGAAAAGCCCTCAGTTCACAGGCGGCCTAGCCCAAGGGCATACATAGTGGTAACACCAAGCACAGCAGAAACGAGAAAGCTCTGCTCTGTGATCTCCGCGGTTTCCTGGAAAAGCTCAGCTCACACCCACTGTCACTTCACCCAGCAAGAGACCACATAAAAGACCATCCAACAGAAAGCATAATGCCAAATGGGACACTTGTACCACTACAAAAATTAACATATTAATGTGTGTGCTAATTTTAAAAAGGATTAATTAAACTGACTACAAGTTTGCCCTTTTTTTAAAAAATAAAGCTGTCAAGTTCTAGGGTAATATAAACGATGCACTCATCATAAACTAGGTGAGCATGACCTGAAACACCCTGGATGCAACAGATTACGTCAAAGGGGTGGGAGGGCAGTGGGACGGCACGAAGCTCTTGGAGGGACCGTCGCCACTACAGTTCATGCTCTCTCATAGTCCGCCCTGGCACACATACCAAATCCTTCTTCTGGAAGGAGGCCATTCTGCTTCCTTTGAAAGTGAATTAGAGTTGTGCCTCAGAACTTTTCCATTAGGGCCATTTATTTATCAGCTGCTTAAAAGTTCTCTCGTAAAGACACCCAACAACAGCCAGAATGACCTAGGGTACCCCAAAGGAGCAGTATAAATTACAGAAAACTTCTTTGATGTGGGAAGAGAGAATCCGGGTCTGTGCATTAGGAAGGGACACATTTTAAGTGCTACAATGCTAACAAAGAACTACCATTACAAGTTCTCTTCTAAATTCAGCGCAAGGAGAGGGAGTACGCAAACACAAGAGCTTTAAAGGCAGCAACGAAGGTTTCAATGCACAACACTTCTCCCCACCCTCACAGACAACACTTCAGGCCGCTGACCAATCCATCCACTAACCCACACTGCCACTCCCGTTCTCCTTACTTCCAGCTGCTGCATCTTACCTCACTTGAGCCATGAACACCATTACAACTGAATTAGACAGAAAACAACCAATCTCCCATCTATGTGGCATTCCGTCATATAAAAGCAGAAGTTTAATGAACAACTTCACTCTAAACAATCCCTGTTTACGAAGCCATCATAAAAAGTCACAAATTTACTCATCAAGGTTAAAATAACTCCAAAGAACAGCATTCATACTTTCTTCCCTTAAATTCAAAGAGGTAAGTAGTCCAAGTCACAGATTTCAAAGCATTCTAGCACAAAGGGGTCACTGAGAGACCACAAAGAACAGTCTTAAGAGTGTTTACAGAGAGATACACCGAGGCCTAGGAAAGGCAAATGCCTGGCCAAGATCACAGCACTGGCTTGTGTTCCTGCATTAGAGTCCCCTGTGGAGACAGGGAACACAGAGCTCTTCACACTCAGCGAGGTAACCCTTCTAGAGAGAGGGGGCCTTACCTGCAACTGAGTTGGGCCGTGGCATTATTAGCGAGCTGGAGCTCTGAGAATAGGGGACCGGACCATCTCCAGCTGAGGACTCCGCTTTGGGCAGCTCACTTTCTGCTGGCCCCGTGGTCTCCTCCTCGGCCACTGGGGAGCAGTTATCAGCCCTTCGATCATGAAGCACTCCTTTCTGAACCCCTAACCTCAGGCTTCCATCTTTATTCCATTCCAAACTGGAGCCACTCCGGTCATCGTTTTCGGATGAACTTGTAATTGTGGCTGAAATGAGAGATGAAAATATTTAAGGACACCAGGCATAGCTAGGGCTGCTGAGAGTTAACACACAGACTGCCCTCGCCAGGATCAATGGAAAGTTTTCCGGCCCACACAGATTTTTATCAAAGTATGTTTCATACAATGTGTTTTGGTAAAGTAAAAAGAAATGTTCTTTATCAGGGGAAATAAACTGCTAAATCACTCTACAGGAAAGACCAAAAAAAAAAAAAAAAAAAAAACCCTTTTGATAAGAGGATCATGAAAAATCTGTCTGAAAATATCTGAGGCTTAACATCACATCTGTGTAATGCGGAGATACAGTCTTTGACCAAGATAAATTCCTCACATCTCATTAAACTCCTTTGAATCTTTAAACATCTTAACCACGTGAACATTTTTGGGGAGAGGGAGACAGGAAACAATAAACAGAGGGGGAAAAATGCAAAAGAAAATCTACAGAAGCAAAAATATAATCATAAAGTCAAACAGAAAATTCTGATCCTTAAAATTTTTACATCTGATCAACATGATCCAGAGAGCTAACCTGACTTACTCTTTCAGCAGCACAGAATGGAGATTTGCTCCCTGACCAGCACAGGAAGGTGGAATTAAAATTTAACCCTTAGCAAAGAAGGGGGGGCGGGAGAGGGCAGAGAATATGCAGAAAAAAAGCTCTTGAAAACATCTTGGTAGGACAGCAGGGGAATATGATAAAAAGACAGGATACTTACCCTACATAGCTTCTATGGGCACTCTGAGCTTACATTTGCTGAGCTGCACCGGGGTCCCCCAGCAAACACAGGTCACCAGGGCCAATCGCGCTGCCCCACTGTTGACCTAACGCTGGCTGTGTCCTTGAGGACAGGGCCAAGTGCACTCTGCTTGGATCCCAGCAGCCCAGGCCTCTCACTGAGTGCCGAGAGAACCAGAGTGCACCTGACCACCACACCCAGCTGCCTGAAGCGGGTAGCTTCGTCTACACATACAAAGAGCCACACAGTCTCAAAAGGCTGATGTATTAGCTCAAATAGAGCCAGTTATTTAGGGTCAAAGGGTCTAAACAGGTTCAGTTTTATTTGTACAACACTTTCTAAGATTTGCAAGTAAAGACAACAACTTTCTTGTGACCACAGGACGTCCTGCCACAATTCTAAGAACTGTCCTTGCTGCCAGGCGTCTGGGCTGGTGCCCCTCTGCTTGCCTATTTAAAAACTGCACTCACACATGGAAGCCTCCCAAGAGAATGGCAAGTGGCTCTTTCCCTTTCACTAGGCAGCCACTGGGCCTGGCACACAGCTGATAAATGTTTTTTTACTGACTTAAAGAGAAAATGAATGAACTTGGCTGCACTTGCAGAACCCTTACACCTCTATGACCTCACTGTCACTGGTTAACAGTGACAGTGTTACAGACTGCTGACTATGTCTCTCAATGAGGCACAAGGTGATTTGGTGCGACTCAGGACTGGCCTCACCTTCTTTCTGGATGCTGGTCATTATTCTTCCAAACATTTCTAAATACTCTAGTAGTAACACACCTGGCCTCCATCTCTTTGAAACCAATCACTGCTTTTAACTGCGTTTTCAAATGAATCATCTATATGAACCTAAATACAGCAAGTACGACACTATCATAAAAATGTCGACAGTGGTGACTGTGATGCTGGCAAGAGCGGTGAGAGCAGCAGCTAACATTTACTGAGGGTTTAATATTTGCCAGAGTGTGAGCTAATGCTTTATAGAAATGGTTTATTAATGAGTTTATTGCTTATTTATGCTAATTAATTATTAATGGCAACAACAAGCTAAAAGGATAAAAATATTTGGTAGTCCTACAATATAGATTGTTAATATAGAGGATTTGGACCTCTGAATGCCTCTTTGAGACACACTGTAATAAGTTAGGTTCCCTGGATACCCTCACACTGAGCTGGGGGTAGGAGCTATTTGCTTGTTCTTATTGTTGTGATTGTTATATTTAAGGGCAATTATTCTTAAGGTAAAAAACAGAAATATGACTAAGTAACTGGAAGCAGTAGCACATGCCAGTAACCCTACACTGGGAGGCTGAGGCAGGAAAATTGCAAGTTTCAGGCCAGATCAGGCAATTTAACGAGACTTTGTCTTAAAAACAAGGTGAGGGGCTATGCACACAGTTTGGTGCAGGCCCTAAATTCCAAGCAGGTAGTGCTTGGAGGGGAGCGGTTAAGAAGGAAAGGAGGCAAGAAGGGGGTAGGTAAAGAACAAAAATGTCTGAATTTGTCCTCATTTGCCTCCCTAAGTGGCACACACTTTTAAAATCAAAGCCCCAAGGATGTAAAAGCCTAACTAGGACCTGAAACAATGGGAACAGTGACTTCCTATTATAATGGACCCCACTCACAACAGGATAGTTGCCTCAGGGCCCTAGGAAGCAGCTGGGAACAGCCCAGGCAATGCATGGAGTGCAGGACAGCTGAAGGTCCCATTCTCATGCTCTATGTGGTGCCAGAGATCTGATGGGTGGAAATATTCAAGCCCAAGAGGAAGAAAAGTGGATGGGGAAGAAAGGCTCCAAGCTGCAGGAACAGCGGCTAGGAAGACAATTCCCAAATAGGGTAGCCATTTCAAGGGGAGAGTATCAAGAGGTCACTGTTTACTAGTAGGATGCTCTAGTGAGGAAGAAGACTAGCGCCTCCACTGGCCACCAGAAGTAGCTGTAGGCGAGGCACCCTGTATCCATACTCACCAGGAGCAAGAGGCAGGGAGGTGAGCCCAAAACTCCAGGTCTCCCCACACAGATGCCCCACCGGGAATGACCCACTCCACTAATTCCCACCCTGGGATCCAGTACCAGAGTCCCACAGCGGGAAGCCCAAAGTTGATGTGGCAGGGCTGATGAAAACAGATGTGTCCATCTTTCTGCTAACCTAAGAAGACACCAAACAGGGCAGCTGCACTGGTGCCAAGGAGAAGCAGGTTCTCTCAACAAGCTACTCAAGAATACTTGTTTCATCCACACTACAAGAAATTCAAACGCCCACTTAGATTAATACAGTCACTTTCATGAACACGTGGACACACACATGCATGCACACACTCAACTATGACAATGCATTACCTACGACCGCAGCAACAACAAAAATCTCTAACAGGTGCTATTTAACATCTTCCAAATTTGGGATAAGTCTTAAAGTTCCCTAACAACTCACAATGTCTTTTTATTCCTTCCAACTAGCAGAAATGATAGCTTTTGTCAATAAGGGCTTGATATCATGACCAAACTTGATCTCAATCTGCCTGTCATTGTACAGTATTCTATAATATGAAGGATTTGTGGGTCCTTAGGTTTCACCAAGCTGTCAAGTTATGCTGTGCCTCACAGTGTGCTGTTAAACCAGGCTTGTTGATTCACACACACTACCTTTCACTCTGTGTGCAATTTGAAGGTTCCTTTAGCTCTAGCAGCAGCCTAACCTTCCCCTGTAGCAAAAGCACACATAACCAGACCTGTTAATACCCAAGACTGCAAAATCTCCAAAGCATTTTCTTAAGATGTCAAGGCAGAGACATGACCACCACCACAAGGGAGAAGGGAGGGCCAGCTGGGAACCATCTACCCCACTTCATAGATATGAAGCTGATCACGCATGGTTGGCGGTATATCTAGCACCAGTCCTCACTGCCCATTCAACAAGCTTTTGAAGCCTCCTTTGCTTGTGCAGGCTCAACACATAAAAGGAGTTTTGTAGTATATGCAGGTAAAAAACCTAAGTACACACGAAGGTATTGTTAGAATCAGCCAGACAGCTGTCTGCTCAGTCAACCAAATGTTTAGCTAGGGAAGGCTCTGCAACAAAACCTATCTCCTTCTTAATTATTCTTCATCCTCTTCTTGACTTTTAAAGGTCGAATGTACATTTAAAATGTTGAATACACATTTAAAATCCAATTGGAGGGGAAAAAAAAATCAACTTTGGCTCACAGGCCAGTAGGCAGTTGAGTGAATTTAAATCAAGTTACAGGTTTGACATAAGATTGAGAGAGTTGGGTGTGATGGTGCACACTTGTAACCCCAGCACTCAGGAGGCTGAAGCAGGAGGATCACCTTGAGTTCAAGGCTGGCCTGGGCTACACAGTGAGTTCAAGGCAAGCTGAACTACACAGCGAGATTCTGTCTCGAAGCAAACAAAAAAAGCAAGAGTAAATATGATTGTAGAATGAATCCAGAATTGCTTAAGAACTAAGAGTCAATGAGATCAAATGTATACCACACACAGATTTCTCTTTGAGCAACTGGAAAGACCAGAGATGTAAAGTGTCCGGGGGGGGGGGGGGGGAAGGCATGCAGGGGTTCAAACCTGGGTTTTTCCCTTTTGAACATCCACATGCTGCTGTGACTCTTCACAAGCATTACCGTCAGTCATGGTTTAAATTAAGAATGACCTCCAGACTCCCAGGGCTAAGGCAGGGCTTCTGAAAGGCGCCTGGGCCAGGGGTGCTACAGCTACACGGCTGAGGTGGGAGCCAGTGGGAAGCAGCAGGTGACTGCGACTAATCTGGAAGGGCGTATCTGTCTCCCAGGCTCCGTCCTCTGCGCTCTGCATGCTGGCCACTGTGATATGAGCAGCCTTTCCTCTGCCTAGACACTTCCACCAGGCCATCCCTGCCTTGGGACCAGCTGACCATGAACTGTAACAATGAGCAAAAATAAACCTCTCCTCTGTAAGTTATGGGTGTCAGGTATTGTGTTTCTGCTACAAGCAAAGTGCCTAGGGACTAAGATAGCCTCCTTATCTATCAAGAAACACAGTGGCAACAGTGTTTCTTTCTGCTAACTAGCAGGGTCCTTCAACCCTCCCACTTACAAGAAAAATGAATACAGTCATACGAGCTGCTATTATTTACTCTTCCCAACTCAAGATTTCACAGAAAAAGGAAAGCTTTGGTTTATACATGAATGCTTGCATGTGGGTTACTACGTGTGTAAGCACTGCTAATCGGCTGGGAAGAAGGCAGCAGAAA